TTACCAGACAGGTGGCGAGCGGGTCCCAGGGCTCCCTCAGCGCCTGCAGCAGCCTGGCTCCGTAGCGCGAGACGAAGGTGTCGCACTGCGAGGGGGCAGAGAGCGGGGTCACGGCACAGAGGGGCAGGGGGCCGGGGGACACTGAGCCCAGCTCTGCCCAGGAGTCCTGGCATCCCGCTCCAGCCAGGAGCCCCCAGGCGCCTGCTGCCCAGCCCCGCTTGGCGGGGACGAGCCCTGGGCCCCCCCTGGCCCCGGGGGCCGAGCTGAGTCCTACTGACCCCGGGGGACCCCCCGAAGTGCCGCTTGCACGTGCTGTTCAGAGCGTCTCCCAGGTCCCGGCTGGGCTCCAGGTCCAGCAGCGTCAGGCTGGTGAAGGTCAGGCAGAGGTCACAGGCATCGCGGGGGGGTAGCAGGGCGCCTGGCACGTGGGAAGCAAGGATCTCAGCATCCCCCCTCGGGCGCATCACACCTGCCCCCCAGGGCCCTGCCCCCCGCTCTCAGACCCAGGGGGAGGCCCCCCTCCAGCAGCAGGTGGGGGAATGGCCAGCATGGCCAGCTCTGTGCTGCTCCCCTCCGGACATATGGGGCAGGCCGGGGCGGACGGGATCCCAGGGCAGCGGGGGTCACTTAGAGCCGCCCCAGGGCTGCCCTACAGAACCGAGGTGCAGGCAGCTTGTAAACGCCAGCGGCCTGGAGCCTGGTGTCTGCTCGTCCCTCCCGCCCCCGAGGAGCCCTGCTCCGGTTCCCATTCGTCCCCCCACCACAGGGACCTCGGGTCTCCCTCAGCGGGGGGTCGCCCCTGCGGCCCCAGGGCAGAGCCCAGTGTCAGTTTCCCGGGCACAGCGCCTCAGGCGGCAGCAGCTGGCGGAGAACAGCGCGAAAACCTTGGGCGGGCCCTCGGCACATTCCCAGGCTGGTGCAGACGCCCCTGGGACCCTTCCCGTCCTCCAGCGCCTGGGTGATCTGGGATTTGAACATCTTGATGGCGTAGCGGCAGAGGCCGCGCAGCACCCAGGTCACGATCTGGCACACCTGGTCCTCGGCCTGGGTGATGGTGTCCTACACGGGGGAGGGGGTGAGAGACTGCCTGGGTCATCCATGCTCCCTGGCACAGCCTCACCCTGGCCCCATAGCTCTGAGTGCCCCCGCTCGACACTGGGCCAGGGCGAGACTCGGGCTGTACCTGGGACCGGCTGGATCCGTGTAGGCGGCCAGTGGGGCTGCCTGTGTCCCCCGGCACCGCGGTCACAGCACCGCCCTCTCCCCGCCCCATGCGCTCCTGTCTGGCTTGGAGCCGCGTCCTAGAGCCCGTCTGCTGCCCCCCACCCCACACGGGCTGGACCTGCGTGGCAGAGAGGGGTGATGTTGCCATGGGAGCCAGGGCAGAGCCTTAGACCTCTTGGGGGGAGGGGTTCACAGGCCCCTGAACCCCCTTGTCCTGGACTTAATCTGCTCCCTTCGTGCTTCCCTCCGCCCAGCCTGACCAGCTCCCTGGCCATGGCGGCTCCTGTGTCAACCTGGACCCTGCACTGTGCTCTGACCCTGAGCAGCAAACAACCTTCTACTCTACAGCCCGACAGTCACAGCTGGGTGCAGACGGGGGCTCCCCGACGCGCCGTCACACACAGGGAGAGCCCCCCCAGGAACCCTGGGCTCTGTCCTGGGGCTCCCCATGGCCCTACCTGAGCCCCCCTCACCTTGTCACGCTTGTCACCAACCAGGGACTCCAGTGTCTTCATGATTTTGGTGCAGAGGGAACACTGGAAGGCAGGGGCGTCCACCCGGCTGCGCCAGCCCTGCTGAGCCACGCACAAGCCAGGGTCACCTCTGGAGCAGCCACGTCCCCACGGACCCCTCAGCCTCCCAGCCCTGAGCCCCCTGCCCCCTACGAACCCCTCAGCCTTCCAGCCCTGAGCCCCATGCCCCTACGGAACCCTCAGCCTCCCAGCCCTAACCCTAACCCTAACCCTAACCCTAACCCTAACCCTAACCCTAACCCTAACCCTAACCCTAACCCTAACCCTAACCCTAACCCTAACCCTAACCCTAACCCTAACCCTAACCCTGCCCGGGACCCCCCACATCTGCGCCAGGCTGGTGAGAGCCTCGGCGCCTGCTGCCCAGCCCCGCTTGGCGGGGACGAGCCCTGGGCCCCCCCTGGCCCCGGGGGCCGAGCTGAGTCCTACTGACCCCGGGGGACCCCCCGAAGTGCCGCTTGCACGTGCTGTTCAGAGCGTCTCCCAGGTCCCGGCTGGGCTCCAGGTCCAGCAGCGTCAGGCTGGTGAAGGTCAGGCAGAGGTCACAGGCATCGCGGGGGGGTAGCAGGGCGCCTGGCACGTGGGAAGCAAGGATCTCAGCATCCCCCCTCGGGCGCATCACACCTGCCCCCCAGGGCCCTGCCCCCCGCTCTCAGACCCAGGGGGAGGCCCCCCTCCAGCAGCAGGTGGGGGCAGGACCAGCATGGCCAGCTCTGTGCTGCTCCCCTCCGGACATATGGGGCAGGCCGGGGTGGACGGGATCCCAGGGCAGCGGGGGTCACTTAGAGCCGCCCCAGGGCTGCCCTACAGAACCGAGGTGCAGGCAGCTTGTAAACGCCAGCGGCCTGGAGCCTGGTGTCTGCTCGTCCCTCCCGCCCCCGAGGAGCCCTGCTCCGGTTCCCATTCGTCCCCCCACCACAGGGACCTCGGGTCTCCCTCAGCGGGGGGTCGCCCCTGCGGCCCCAGGGCAGAGCCCAGTGTCAGTTTCCCGGGCACAGCGCCTCAGGCGGCAGCAGCTGGCGGAGAACAGCGCGAAAACCTTGGGCGGGCCCTCGGCACATTCCCAGGCTGGTGCAGACGCCCCTGGGACCCTTCCCGTCCTCCAGCGCCTGGGTGATCTGGGATTTGAACATCTTGATGGCGTAGCGGCAGAGGCCGCGCAGCACCCAGGTCACGATCTGGCACACCTGGTCCTCGGCCTGGGTGATGGTGTCCTACACGGGGGAGGGGGTGAGAGACTGCCTGGGTCATCCATGCTCCCTGGCACAGCCTCACCCTGGCCCCATAGCTCTGAGTGCCCCCGCTCGACACTGGGCCAGGGCGAGACTCGGGCTGTACCTGGGACCGGCTGGATCCGTGTAGGCGGCCAGTGGGGCTGCCTGTGTCCCCCGGCACCGCGGTCACAGCACCGCCCTCTCCCCGCCCCATGCGCTCCTGTCTGGCTTGGAGCCGCGTCCTAGAGCCCGTCTGCTGCCCCCCACCCCACACGGGCTGGACCTGCGTGGCAGAGAGGGGTGATGTTGCCATGGGAGCCAGGGCAGAGCCTTAGACCTCTTGGGGGGAGGGGTTCACAGGCCCCTGAACCCCCTTGTCCTGGACTTAATCTGCTCCCTTCGTGCTTCCCTCCGCCCAGCCTGACCAGCTCCCTGGCCATGGCGGCTCCTGTGTCAACCTGGACCCTGCACTGTGCTCTGACCCTGAGCAGCAAACAACCTTCTACTCTACAGCCCGACAGTCACAGCTGGGTGCAGATGGGGGCTCCCCGACGCGCCGTCACACACAGGGAGAGCCCCCCCAGGAACCCTGGGCTCTGTCCTGGGGCTCCCCATGGCCCTACCTGAGCCCCCCTCACCTTGTCACGCTTGTCACCAACCAGGGACTCCAGTGTCTTCATGATTTTGGTGCAGAGGGAACACTGGAAGGCAGGGGCGTCCACCCGGCTGCGCCAGCCCTGCTGAGCCACGCACAAGCCAGGGTCACCTCTGGAGCAGCCACGTCCCCACGGACCCCTCAGCCTCCCAGCCCTGAGCCCCCTGCCCCCTACGAACCCCTCAGCCTTCCAGCCCTGAGCCCCATGCCCCTACGGAACCCTCAGCCTCCCAGCCCTAACCCTAACCCTAACCCTAACCCTAACCCTAACCCTAACCCTAACCCTAACCCTAACCCTAACCCTAACCCTAACCCTAACCCTAACCCTAACCCTAACCCTAACCCTAACCCTAACCCTAACCCTAACCCTAACCCTAACCCTAACCCTAACCCTAACCCTAACCCTAACCCTAACCCTAACCCTAACCCTAACCCTAACCCTAACCCTAACCCTAACCCTAACCCTAACCCTAACCCTAACCCTAACCCTAACCCTAACCCTAACCCTAACCCTAACCCTAACCCTAACCCTAACCCTAACCCTAACCCTAACCCTAACCCTAACCCTAACCCTAACCCTAACCCTAACCCTAACCCTAACCCTAACCCTAACCCTAACCCTAACCCTAACCCTAACCCTAACCCTAACCCTAACCCTAACCCTAACCCTAACCCTAACCCTAACCCTAACCCTAACCCTAACCCTAACCCTAACCCTAACCCTAACCCTAACCCTAACCCTAACCCTAACCCTAACCCTAACCCTAACCCTAACCCTAACCCTAACCCTAACCCTAACCCTAACCCTAACCCTAACCCTAACCCTAACCCTAACCCTAACCCTAACCCTAACCCTAACCCTAACCCTAACCCTAACCCTAACCCTAACCCTAACCCTAACCCTAACCCTAACCCTAACCCTAACCCTAACCCTAACCCTAACCCTAACCCTAACCCTAACCCTAACCCTAACCCTAACCCTAACCCTAACCCTAACCCTAACCCTAACCCTAACCCTAACCCTAACCCTAACCCTAACCCTAACCCTAACCCTAACCCTAACCCTAACCCTAACCCTAACCCTAACCCTAACCCTAACCCTAACCCTAACCCTAACCCTAACCCTAACCCTAACCCTAACCCTAACCCTAACCCTAACCCTAACCCTAACCCTAACCCTAACCCTAACCCTAACCCTAACCCTAACCCTAACCCTAACCCTAACCCTAACCCTAACCCTAACCCTAACCCTAACCCTAACCCTAACCCTAACCCTAACCCTAACCCTAACCCTAACCCTAACCCTAACCCTAACCCTAACCCTAACCCTAACCCTAACCCTAACCCTAACCCTAACCCTAACCCTAACCCTAACCCTAACCCTAACCCTAACCCTAACCCTAACCCTAACCCTAACCCTAACCCTAACCCTAACCCTAACCCTAACCCTAACCCTAACCCTAACCCTAACCCTAACCCTAACCCTAACCCTAACCCTAACCCTAACCCTAACCCTAACCCTAACCCTAACCCTAACCCTAACCCTAACCCTAACCCTAACCCTAACCCTAACCCTAACCCTAACCCTAACCCTAACCCTAACCCTAACCCTAACCCTAACCCTAACCCTAACCCTAACCCTAACCCTAACCCTAACCCTAACCCTAACCCTAACCCTAACCCTAACCCTAACCCTAACCCTAACCCTAACCCTAACCCTAACCCTAACCCTAACCCTAACCCTAACCCTAACCCTAACCCTAACCCTAACCCTAACCCTAACCCTAACCCTAACCCTAACCCTAACCCTAACCCTAACCCTAACCCTAACCCTAACCCTAACCCTAACCCTAACCCTAACCCTAACCCTAACCCTAACCCTAACCCTAACCCTAACCCTAACCCTAACCCTAACCCTAACCCTAACCCTAACCCTAACCCTAACCCTAACCCTAACCCTAACCCTAACCCTAACCCTAACCCTAACCCTAACCCTAACCCTAACCCTAACCCTAACCCTAACCCTAACCCTAACCCTAACCCTAACCCTAACCCTAACCCTAACCCTAACCCTAACCCTAACCCTAACCCTAACCCTAACCCTAACCCTAACCCTAACCCTAACCCTAACCCTAACCCTAACCCTAACCCTAACCCTAACCCTAACCCTAACCCTAACCCTAACCCTAACCCTAACCCTAACCCTAACCCTAACCCTAACCCTAACCCTAACCCTAACCCTAACCCTAACCCTAACCCTAACCCTAACCCTAACCCTAACCCTAACCCTAACCCTAACCCTAACCCTAACCCTAACCCTAACCAGGAGGAGTGCAGGGTCTGGGAGGGGGGTGGAGTGCAGGGTCTGGGAGGGGGGTTGAGTGCAGGGTCTGGGGGAGGTTAGTTCCTGGAGGGGGGCAAGGTCGGGGGGGTGCAGGGCCAGTTTCGGGCCAGTGGGAGCTGTGAGGATGATGCGGGGGTGGGGGCAGCACACACAGACTCACTACCCTGTCACTGAGAGGTGGGGGAGTCACCAGGCCCGGCCCCCCACAACTGCAGGGAGATGCAACTCCCGGCAGGCAGGGAGAACTGAAGGTTTAGGAGGCGACAGGGACACAGCGCACAGCAGACTTGTCAGCCAGGAAGCAGGAGCAGCCAGTACAGCCCAGCTTGGGAGGGGACCCGGGGCCCAGGGCCGTGCCCCCCAAGCCAGGCCAGACTAACCCACACACCCAGCAGCTGGGTCCCCAGGCTCGGCTTTTGTGGGGCTTCCCGGGGAGAAGGCGGCACCTGGTCGCCCCCCTCCCGGCTCAGGTTAGCAAGGGCAGCGCCTCGCGCAGCTGCCAGCCTCTCCGTGGGAAATGCCCAGGGAAACTGAGGCACGCAGACGGGGTTACTGCAGGACAGTAGAAATCACAAAGGGAATAACGCCCCTAGCTCGTCCCGCGCGCCTTCCCCCCAAGGGGCGGGCGAAGGCACGTGATTGCCCCACGTCCCGCCCCCCAGGCCAGGCGGATCCGAACCTGGGTCCCTGCTGGTGGGCGACGAGGAACCAGCTGTGTCGAGATACACGCGACCTGATTGGCGAACCCACCTGCCTATCACATCTCTCCGTTCTCCTATTGGTGCATGAGGGAACGTCCCGCCTCCCCTCGGAACATTTGCAACCCAGGGCAGCTTTCTCGGTCAGGGCGTTGAAATGCGCGGTTCCTGTCCTGGCCGCTGATTGGTCCGTGCGAAGAGCAGACAGGCTGTGATTGGAAGCCAGATCAGGCTCTTTCCGCCCTTGGCTTTGGTGCGCCACGTGGGTGGGAGTCTGGGTTGTAGGGAGCAGCCCCTAGAGCCGCCCTATGGGGCTGTCTGGCCGCGCACCCCGCAATCCCCGCACCCCCATGTACCTCCGCAATCCGTGCACCCCATGTACCCCTGCAATCTCTGCACCCCCATAATCCATGAACCCTATGTACCCTCAATCCGTGCACCCCCGCTGTCCATTTCCCCCTTGCACCCCGTCAATGCACAGAGATCCACTAGATAGTCAGATCTAGGGGGCTGCACAGAGGCCGTGTGCGAGGAAGGGGGATTTTCTTGATGCCTGGCGTGAGTGTGGTGCCTGCCTCAGTTTCCCCGGCATGCTGCATGTTTAATGAGGTGTTTGTGTTGCAGAGGGCCAGGTGTGACCAGCCCAGCAGCCTGGACACTTTGCAACATGGCCCATGGGGCTCAGGCCAGCCAGAGGGCGAAGAGAAGGCCCAGGTGAGAAGCCTAAGGGGGAGGGGCTGCTGGGGCACTGGGAGCAGGGGTGGGGGGGG